ATTCCCGTTGCAAGTGAAGCATAGCTATGATATCGGCCCTGATATCTGGAGAGGGGCTGATATGTATTAGTGAAATTGTTGGGTAAAAGCAAATGATCAAAGTAAAATTTTCAGTGATTCACTTGTTTTGGAGCACATTTATAGTAATAAGTGGCCTTGGCACCCTAACCCCCCTTGCAGGGAGGCTACCACCAGGTCAAAATAAAAATTCACCTCGTATGTTCTGGCAGGAGAGAGCCCAGGCAAATATCTGGATCTAACATGCATAATTTCTTATCTTCACCAATAAATCTACTATAGCCAACCTATTATTCCTGAGGTGGGAACTGGAACCATTATCCAACACCCGTTTTCAGTATTTCCATGCCATTTTGCATATTAACCCATTTCATTGATTTACAAAAATATCCTACATTATCTTAATTTGCTGTTACTAATGTTTGTAATAATAATGACACCAATATTTGGACAATATGTAGTATAAGGTAGTGGCAGAGTTGGGTAATAAAACCTACAAGAAATGATAGAACAATACAAACCAAGACAAATTTCTTATATGGCAATATGTGTGCAAACGCTTCGCAAGGGTGCTAGGCATAAAAGAAGAGAAAATCCCCAATATTGGTTAAGTCGCTCATCTTGTTTACTTTGCGAGGGTGAATTCTAGACATATATATTGCTACAGGGGTCCAGGGGGCATAGCCCCCTGGCTAGGTGCATACACTACCACTGGGACCCAGGGGGCAGAGCCCACTGACTAGGGAATATATACCACGGTGTTGGATGTTGGGTTGGGACATTTTGATTGACAATTTACAATTTAGAATGAGCACATCATTTTCCCCATTTTTTATTCATTTTACCTGGCGGCAATGGGTTAATGGCTACAATATTTTCCTCGCAAAATGGCTTTGTTGCCAAGAAGTTGGTGAAGACACACCTAGCGCAAACGGCATCCATAGCAAAACCAAATTTAAAATTTTTCTTCTTTCAAACAATTTTCCATGACAGTTAAGTTTTATTGGTTAATTATTGTTTCCATAAATCTTATAGGTCCATGAGTCACGCCTTCAAAGTTGGTTGGCACGCGATGTCACACACTCCACCGGCATGTATGGGTGGAGTGTGGCGCGGGCAGCAACGTGCACTGGGCAAGGTGTAGGGAGCTCCAGAGGAAAGTGGCGCTGGCAGGGCTACAGCCTCCTGCAGGGGTCACTAGGTGACTGGGGAACGGTACGGTGAAGTATTGTCATTCTGATACTGCAATTTAATGAATTTCCCATGCAATTTCCCTGGCACTATCATGGCTTCCCCTGCTATCGGGCAGGGGGGTTGGGGTTCCGTGCAATAGACCCAGCATGTGTGAGGACTAGAGTGGGGGAGTCCATCGAATGCAAAGTCGTCGCGAAGCGAATACAGAAAATTATCCGAAATTCCAAATAAATGTAATTGATGTCCGTTTCAGATCTCAATATGCATTTCCTTAACCCTCCAGTTGACCATCATTAGCAATACAACGACACTTCCTTCGTCTCGTTACCCTTCACTGTTGGTTTCAGCCCATCCTCTCAGCCTCCTCCATCGGCGCCTGGCAGGGCCCCGCCGTTTGTTGTGGTTCGGCGGCCGGAGGCGCTCCCAGGGCCGGAGGCAGCGCCCGTCGAGCCCCAGCAGCTACATTCATATCAACTTTGGTATTGTTATTATACTTATGGTTATCTTCCGTATCAGTTTCATTGTTGTTATCATTACCATTATTCATTATATTTGTTATTATTTCCATATCATTATAGATATCATCATTATCATCTGTTCATCATATTCGCAGTAACAGTAGTAGTGTAATAATACTATCCATATTACTTATTACTACTGTTTTATCATTATCGTGATTATTTATATCATAATCATTATTATTTCTATTATCATCATTATTATTTTTTGTTATCAATATATTATTATATTTATTACTGTTATTAATAACACAATTGTTATTATTTTATTATTATCAATATCATTCTTTTAATGTTACCATTATTATCATCATTGTCATTATCATTACCATAATGCTACTACTATTAATGATAATGATTATCATTATCATTAAGTAACCGTAATTACTATCATTGTTTTCATTATTATCATTATAATCATCCTCATCCTCATCATTACCATTACTTTAATCAGCTTTATCATTATCATTACTAACATCAATCATATTATTTAAAATAATATTGTTATTATTGTATACAATTATTATCACTGTTATCATCATTCTTATGGACACCTTTATTATTACTACCATCATCATTATCATCAATGTTAACATCCTTGGTGTCATAAACACGTGTTTACTTTGGTCACTGGCTGATCCAAACTTGTTCTCCCCAAGGGCCATTCCACAGAGCAAGTTTGTGGCTTCTAACAGTAAGTAAAAGTGAGACTCTCCTGTTGAGGCCTCTTGGCTTTCGTGAAGGTTGATATAGGAACCGATTCATGGAAGTCACCATTGGAGGCCATGAACTGCAGAAATTGTAAGATTAATTATGTGAAGCACATCGTCGCACTGGTCCGCTTCAGGATTCATATGATCTAATAAAAAGTCAGATCAGGGTTTACTATTCACCCTACATTGAGTTAAACCTGTGATGCTCTTTCGTCAATGAGCACGTCTCCCATAGGCTCACGAAGAGACCCTGTGTGCAAGAGCGAGTGGAAACATTCCTTCAATTCATTTTTTTCACGATTCGAAGTGGTTCAATCAGTCCTCCTGCGCTATGGAACCGCAACTGCTTTCGAGCAGACCCTTCCTATGGCGCTTTTCTGATTTCGGCGTAGGCGCTAAACCCGCTGTTTCCGACAAAGGCCATTGTAGATTACACACACACACCTGCCTGACCCGGACATGGACTTAACATGGCTAAGTGAGGGAGCGTCCCATTAGGTGGGAAAAAATCACAATAACTCCTTGATATTTACAAGTGCTGGTCCTGGAAATAACTAGTCCAAATAACCATAGCAAATAACGATGTCTAGAATCATACTTGTTCGCAATAGAGTTGATTATGAGGCCAAGGGAGGCACAGTTTTTGCTGAACCTCTCAAAACATATTTATGATGTAAGAAGGTTGTATATTACTTCGATACAGGTACTGTGCAACATACATTTGTTTCTTTCACGGACGTCGAGAGCCGAGTCAGGCTCCGGGCTAAGTCAAAGTGCGGCCTACATTTTCGTTTTTACTTCGTGGGCCTTATGATTGCTGGAGATGAATCCTGCTTCATTGCAAATCAATGTTCATCTGTAATGATATAACGTTTATTTCATTGGTATAAACAATTGATCATACAGTTCCCTTTTGCTATGCTATATTTTTTACGCTCTAGGTTTATTCAAGCAAAGGATTAACCCTTTGAGTAGTTAGTAGAGATGGTAAATTTAAAGAAGACAACCCCGAGTTCGATTTCAGGGGTAGTTGCCCCGCTTGAGCCAATCGTCAGAGACGAAGGCGGTGCACCCAAGAGGTGCCTTCAGCCACCTTCATGGCTTTCGGCGTTCCTCCCTTGGGTCCCCAAACCACTTGCTTTCACTCGCCCAGCAGGTACGATGTACTCCCTTTACGTTGTCATTTCTATGATTTCGATTTCCCTGGGACATCGAACACGATCCCCTTCGTACATGGCCACTCCCCCCAAACAAAGGCTTTTTCAAACTGGGAGAGGAAGAGTCTGGCTTCTTTCCTGGCCGGATAACCGCTGGTAACTATGGTCTGTGGCCACTGTCTCGTTAAAGGTGTAAAGGGCTATAGATGACGCCTTAAACATTGGTTATGCAAGGGTAGACATAGTGGTTATAACGGCTGACTCTTTATTTCTGAAGAGTACAACTAGTGATAGTAAAACACGAGACGAGTCTTGGGTAAGCGCCGAGTGCGGGGGTCGCGGTGCCGACCAGCCCTGTGGGAGGGGGGGGAGGCTAGTGAGATGACCTGAGCCACGCGAGCTAGGGCACGTTTGAGAGTCCAACCAATGTCAGATGAACTCGTCATTTTAAGTCCGCGCTGATTCTTTACTGGACGTGTGGATCTAATCAAGCCCTGATGCGAAATACGGCTGGCAGGTCTGTGAAGACCTGACTTTCAAGGTACCACAGATTAAGGACAGTGAGAGAGAGAGGGGGGGGAGAGGGAGGGAGGGAGAGAGAGAGAGAGAGAGAGAGAGAGAGAGAGAGAGAGAGAGAGAGAGAGAGAGAGAGAGAGAGAGAGAGAGAGAGCATATTGCATTTACGCATTGTGAGTGGTGAGTCACGTTGCCAGGTGTGATGTGGAAGGCCATGCGATGTACTGCTCGCAAAGACAGGAATGTATGAAGAGGAGAATATATCAACAATAACAGTAATTAATGATTCAGGTAAGTATCTCTGCTGTTATTATCATCATAATAATTACTATTCTTACGTTTATCGTGCTCATCTAAATTCTCGAAGAGGTACAGGCTATAACCCGCATTGTACATGTCACATATAACCCGCATTCTGCATACCAGTGGCTCCCAACCTCCCCCATTCTGTGGCCCCGACCAACACAGAATAATCTCCACGGCCTCGTTCACTGACTGCCATCGTTTCAGTCTCAGTTATTACTTGTTATAAATAGCGTAAGGGTGTTAATAACTTTAGGACACAAAATACCTTATGGAAAGATTCCAGTTTAATGATCTGTGAGAGAAAATAATAAGCAGGTACTGTAGGTGAGATAAGATGCAATTCATTTCGCTGTTTATCAAATCATCTATTTATGAAATGAGCTGACACTGCGCCTTTGTTGTTACAGGTGTGAGAACTCGCCCCTTTTTACAGTCATGTGTACCTTGCCACCTGTGAGTACTTAGCAAATGTCGAAACCTCTTCCTGTTTTGATATGAGGGAAAATAAACCCGATTTACGCGAGTAAGATAAAACAACAAATTGAAAACAATCGAATCTTTTAAGGATTTCTCTCATGCACGATGTTTATTTCTGGCATTTTATGACAGAGCTTTGATCTTATTCATCATTTGGATGGGCATTTGCTAAAGGCGCGGGAGAGAGAGAGAGAGGGAGAGAGAAAGAGAGAGAGATAGAGAGAGAGATAGATAAATAGAGAGAGAGAGAGAGAGAGAGAGAGAGAGAGAGAGAGAGAGAGAGAGGGGGGGGGGGGCAGGGAGAGAGAGAGAGGGGGGGGAGGGAGGTGGTGAGGGAGAGAGAGAGAGGGAGAGAGAGAGAGGGAGAGAGAGAGAGGGAGAGAGAGAGAGGGAGAGAGAGAGAGAGGGAGAGAGAGAGAGGAGAGAGAGAGAGAGAGAGAGAGAGAGAGAGAGAGAGAGACAGACAGAGAGAGTGGGGTGGTGAGAGAGAGAGAGAGAGAGAGAGAGAGAGGGGGGGGAGGTGGTGAGGGAGAGAGAGAGAGAGAGAGAGAGAGAGAGAGAGAGAGAGAGAGAGAGAGAGAGAGAGAGAGAGAGAGAGGAGAGAATGGGAGAGAGAGAGAGAGAGAGGAGAGAATGGGAGAGAGAGAGAGAGAGAGAGAGAGAGAGAGAGAGAGAGAGAGAGAGAGAGAGAGAGAGAGAGAGAGAGAGAGGAGAGAGAGAGAGGAGAGAGAGAGAGGGAGAGAGAGAGAGGGAGAGAGAGAAAGAGAGCGAGAGAGAGAGAGAGAGAGAGAGAGAGAGAGAGAGAGAGAGAGCTAGCGCGAGAGCGCTCGCTCTGATGGTGGCCCGCGATCTCGCGCGCCGCGCCTGCTCGCGCGCGCTCGCTCGCCTCTCTCGCCTCCTCCGAGCGAGCGAGCGCGGCGGGCGGGCCGCCCCTCCCACTCGCGCCCGCGCCTGAGCGCTGCGGGCGGGCGGGGCGCGCCTCGCTCGCTCGCTCTCATGATCGCCCACTCCCGCCCCTCGCGATAGCCCGCGCCCTGGGCGCCAGGGCTATCATCGCACGCCCCCTTTCGCACTCGCGACGCCCGTCGCGCTGGGTGGCGGTCGCGCCGCGCGCGTTCGGCGGCCGGCTCGGCCACACCCACGCTCTCCCGCGCAGCTCGCTCTCGTTGACTCGCTAGCTCTCTCCTCGCTCTCTCCGCTCTCGCCGCGCGCTCGCGCGCTCGCCGCGCGGGTTTTGTTTTGCTCTCGATCGATCCGCCCGCGCCGACTTCACCATAACGACGCCGCACAGCCTCTTTGCCACCATTGCCGTACAGCCTCTGCACAGACCACCCCGACACCGCGCGGTACACAATACACGGGTGGGGGTGCGCAGCAGAATGGCACCTGTAGTCCACCGTATCGATGAAGGTCAAGGGTTTGGTGACCTAGCTCCAGCTGTGCCGGCGCAGAGGGTCATCTTCGAGCAGTGCACACACACAAATATATATTCACATATCATGTGTGTGTGCACTGAGTGCACAGTGAGTGAGTGAGTGAGTGAGTGAGTGAGTGTGTGTGTGTGTGTGTGTGTGTGTGTGTGAGTGTGTGAGTGTGTGTGTGTGTGTGTGTGTGTGTGTGTGTCTCTGTGTGTGTGTGTGTGTGTCTGTATATGTTTTATTTTCTCCAAATAAAAAAAACACAGTTTCCTAAACTAAATTAAGCGCACAGGACACAGAAAGGTGCAAGGCAGCCCAGGCGAAGCGAGTGGCGTCGCTGTTTCGGCTCCAACCACCAGCATGAGGCTCGTCACGTGAGGCGCGGGCGGCGTAACTGTTAATGCGGAATACGGCGGAGTTTCGGCCGAGTCATATTCCTCGTGCTGATCGACGGCAGCTTTAGATGAGGGGGGGGGGGGATATGCGGCATAGAGGAGGGTTTTGGAGAACCTGAAATGAGCCTTCGGGACGCCGACGCAAACATTTCCCCATGCTGCTTTATCTCTCCTTCCCTTTTTTCTATATGTATTGCAAAATTTAGGTCAGCTCTTGTGTGCTTAATTGTTCGTTGTATCTTTCGCAAATCTTGCTCTGTTTCTGTTGTAACTGCATAGTGGCTCGTCTCTGGGAGGAAAAAAAGTTTTTTAATTCTATTTTTGGAAATATGTACGTTGGAGAAAAAAAGGAATCTTTGGATATATATCAACATATTAAAATCTGCGAAGATAGATAATACACAAATAAAGAAGCGGAGTCATTTTATACAAGTTCAGAAAAAAATATCTAATATATTCCTGAATTTCGTCGCCATCAACACAGTCGAGTTCTCAAGTCCGATGACCTTTGTAATAACTTACATACATTTTTATCTATTTCTATGTGGTAGATAAAGGAAACATAAACTTATAGTGATAAAACAGATAATAATGCAGGAGTCATATAAAGGCAGCAATAACCTTGAAACCAAAACAACATAAATCTAAGGAAGCAAGAAATCCAAACCAGGAAAACCAAGTCAGCGCGAAGGCATCCGAACACATCATATGACGGGGTGCCAAGTGTCGAACCAAAACAGACGAGAGGACGTGGACTGGGTGAGGCTCCCTTTTTATTCGCTTTTTCCTTCTCCTCCTTTTTATTTCGAGGTGTGCCTTCTCTGGGGAACGCTGCTGTGGCTGTGGGATACACGTCGACGGATTGTCATGGTAATTATACGGTATTTAAGTGAGATCTCGTCTTTCTGTTCCCGAGTCCCGTTATCTGTCGCACTCTCTCTTTCTGTCCCGTGATATATTTAATTCTCTCTCCGCTCTCTCATCCCTACTCTCTTTCCTCATCTCTCTTGACTCACCTCCCCCCTCTCCCTTCTCTCATCTCCCTCCTCCCTCGACAACCTCTCTCCTTCTCTCTCTCCCTTCCTCCTCCTCAACTCTCGTCTCTCGTCCACTCTATCTCTCTCTCTCTAACTCTCCAAATCTCTTCACTCTCATCTCTCACTACCACCTCTCTCCTCTCACATCTCTCTCTCCCCACAACTCTTCTCACTCCCCCCTCTTCTCCTTCCCCTCCCTCCTAGCCCCTCCCTCCTTCCCTCCCCTCTCTCTCATCCTCTCTTCTCGCGTCTCTCTCTCCTCCACTCTCTCTCTCTCACCTCTCTCTCTCTCTCTCTCCATTCCTCACTCACAGACACCCTCTCGCTCTCTTCTCTCTCTCCTCTCTCCTCTCTCTCCCACTATCTCCCTCTCACTCACTCTCTCTCTCTCTCTCTCATCTCTCACATCTCTCTCTCTCCCTCTCCTCTCTCTCACTCATCCCTCACCCACTCTCTCACTCACTCGACAACCCCTCCCACACACCCACACACTCCCTCTCTCCCACACTCCCACTCCTCTCATCCTCTCGGCCTCTCTCTACACCTCTCCATTTCCCTATCCAATCCCTCTCCAAAAATTAATACCCATACTTCCTTACCCATACACCCTTTTTCCCTTTTTAATCCCTTTCCCTTACCCTCTTATTCCCTTTTCCCTAATCCTTACCCCTTTTCCCTTTTTCCCTTTTTCCCCTTTTTCCCTTTCCCTTCCCTGCATACTTCTCCCTCTCTCCCTCTCCTCCCTCCCCTCAGTCCCTCTCCCTCTCCCATCTCCCTCACTCCCGCTCCCTCTCTCTCCATCCCTCTCTCTCTCTCGTCTCTCCACAACTCTCTCTCACACATCCTCTCTCACTTCATTCTCCCTTCTCTCGACTCATCGTCACTCTCATCTCCACAGTTCATCTCTCTTCTCGCCTCGCCTCTCATCACCCTCACATCGTTGATGATCGTCCCCCTCACTCCTCTCCTCTCATTCCCTCCTCCTCTCTCTCCATTCTCTCCCGTCCTTCCTCTCTCTCTCCTCACTCTCTCTCCTCCTCTGAAACCAACGCACCCCCCCTCTCCTCTCTGTAACCCACCCCCCCCCCCCTCTCTCTCTCTCGTCCTCTCTCTCTACTCTCTCTCTCCTCTCTCTCTCTCATCTCTCTCTCTCTCATCTTCCACCATCTCGATCTCTCTCTCTCTCCTCTCTTGACTCTCTCTCCTCCTCCTCTCGTCTCTCTCTCTCCTCTCTCTCTCTCCTCACTCGTCTCCTCACCAAGGTCTCTCCTCTCTCTTCTCTCCCTCCCTCCCTCCCTCCCTCCCTCTCTCCCTCCTCTCTCCTCATCAAATAAACAGACAATACTGTCACATACACCACCAAGAATAATCCAAATTAACAAATGAATCAACCAAACTAAACTCTTCTCCATCTCTCTCTCACACTCTCCATCTCTCACTCATCCATCTTCTCTCCCCACTCTCTCTCCGTCTTCCAATCATCCCCTCTCCCTTCTCTCACTCTCTCTCTCCTCTCTCTCTCATGTCTCTCTCCTCGCTCTCCCTTCTCTCTCTCTCTCTCATCTGTCTCTCACTCCTCCATTTCCTCTGCTCTCACTCTCTGACTCTCTCTCACTTCTCTCCCTCCCATCTTCCCTCCCTCCCCCCTCCCACTCCCTCTTTAACCCACGACCCCACTACTCCTCCCTCTCCCCCTCTCCCCACACCCACTCCCACTACCCACACCCTCTCCACTCTGACCCTCTCCCTGCTCCCTCTCCCTCTCCCACCTCTCCCTCACCACCTCTCAACCTCTCCCTCTCTCCTCTCTCTCTCGTCTCCTCTCACTCCCGCTCACTCACTCGCACCTCTCACTCCTCTCTCGCTCTCATCTCGCACTCCCTCCCATCCTCCCTCCCGTCATCTCCCTCTCCCTCACCTCCCTCCCCTCTCCTCTCTCTCTCTCCTCTCTCTCTCTCTCTCTCTCTCTTCTCTCTCTCTCCATCTCTCCGGTCTCTCCCTCACCTCTCCCTCTCTCTCTTCTCTCTCCTCCCTCCCTCCCTCCCTTCCCCCTCGCCTCCCACCCTCTCTCTCTCTCTCTTCCATCATCTCACTCCGCTTCTCTCTCTCTATCTCTCACCTTCCTCTCCTCCTCTCTCTCTCCTCATCCCTTCCCAATCTGCCTCCTTCCACTCTCTCTCGTCTCTCGCTCTCGACTCTTCCCTCTCTCCCCCTCTCCTCCTCTCACCCTCTCTCCCTACCCTCCCCTACCCTCCTTTCCCTCCTTCTACCCTCCCTCCCTCCCACCCCCCCCTTCTTACACTCCCTCATCCTCTCCCACTCCACTTTCTATCTCTCTATCTCAAAACTCCTTGTGAGTCATTTTTTTAACTCCTTGGATGTGAGTGCTCCCTCTCCCTCTCCCTCTCCCCCTCTCCCCTCCCTCTCCCCTCTCCTCACTCTCTCCTCCTCTCCTTCCATCCTCTCCCTCTCTCCTCTTCTCTCTCCCTCCTCGTCCCTCTCTCCTCTCTCTCCTCTCTGGTCCTCTCCACTCGTCTCTCCTCTCGATCTCTCTCTCTCTCCTCGCTTTCACCTTCTCTCTCCTCTCTCTCCTCCCTCCCTCCCGCCTCTCCCTCCCTCACCCTCCCCTCCCTCTCATCTCTCCTCGTCTCTCTCAATCCTCTCTCTCTCTCCTCTCCCCTCTCTCCTTTTCTCATCTGTCTCTCACGTCTCTCATCTCTCTCTCTCCTCCCATGCATTCATCTCTCTCTCTTCTCTCTTCATTCTCCTCTCTCCTCTCTCTCTCTCTACACCCTCCCTCCCAACTCCCCTCCTTCAGTCCCTCTCTCCTCCCTCACTCTCCTCACTCTGTCACTCTCCTCGCTCTCTCTCTGCTCTCTTCTTATCTCTGCTCACTCTCTCTCTCCCTCCCTCCCTCCCTCCCTCCTCTCCCTCCTATATTTCTTTCTTTCTATCTCTCAAAACTCCCTGTGAGTCATTTGTTAACTCCTTGGATGTGAGTGCTTTGCTGCTTCCTTCTCTCTCTCTCTCTCTCTCTCTCTCTCTCTCTCTCTCTCTCTCTCTCGTCTCTCTCTCTCTCTCTCTCTCTCTCTCTCTCTCTCTCTCTCTCTCTCTCTCTCTCTCTCTCTCTCTCTCTCCTCCCTCCCTCTCCCCTCCCTCCCTCTCCCTCCTATATTTCTTTCTTTCTATCTCTCAAAACTCCCTGTGAGTCATTTGTTAACTTCTTGGATGTGAGTGCTTTGCTTTCCGCACGTGGCCCAAAATAAGGCCTTAGACTTACTTGAGCTGTGATGGTTGTGTGGCTTGTAGGCTGGGTGCACTCTATAGCTTGTGTTCGCTGACAAGACTTCATGCCTCATCTTTTGCCATGTTGTTTTCTCTTTTTCTGCTTAAGTGTTTTTAGTTATTTTGCCATTTTCCAATGTCTATATTTGTCATTTGATACTGTATCAAGATAGTAATAGGAGGTTTTTCTCGCTCAGAATCCAAATTATCTCTCTAGGTAGTCCATAACTCATTGCAATAATAACAACAACAAGGGACTGGCTCTTTATTGTGGAAATGATGTCCTCCCTAGAGCGTGCACTCTTGCAGTCATGGCTCATGAAGGGTGCATTCCACACTTGCATGTCGCATGGTAGGAGCTCCTTCCTAAATACCCACTCAGCCCAATCTCAGCCCAAGAGCTCTGTGCCTTTGTGCGAGTCCTTCCTATCACCCAGGTCTTTTGTTTTAAAGTGACTCTGACTGAAATTTTGTTGCATGGTTGAGTCAAAGTGGATATCTTGTACCAGGAATGATTTATGCTTTTTTATATTTGTGAGGGAATTCTTAGGTGTGCATCTTTTATTTATTTAACTAAATGGATAACCAGGGCAGTGGATACCCGTGTTTGTTACATATTAGGCTAAGCCATATTCAAGAAAAGTTGTAAAGAGGAAATATAACTTACCTGGTATTTTTTGAGGGGAATGATAATGGTACCTAATATTGTTTATGAATTAGAAAGAGAAATTATATTTTTTAAAGGTGCTACAAGTGTAGTTGGTTTAGATGTTTGGAAGTAAAGTAAATACAGAGAATTTAAGCACTTAGTTTTCAAAGGGAAGCCAAATTTAGAGCAAAGGTGAAACTTCAAGCTGGTCTGTGGTATCACATTAAAATTTCTTTTGGGATTTTTGGAAATATTGCCTGCAATATAATGATCACTAGGGTTGGTTGATGAGTGATGAGTGACAATGTAGATGATTGAGGCAGCTCTCCAGAAAAGCTGCAAAAAGCCAGTAACAAGAATTTTGAGGGATGGAAATATATCAGGGAAGTTGTGTTCCAGGCATTGTAAAATTACTAATAACCGATAGATTGTGTTACTGTCATACCAATAATGGTTCATATGTGATTTGTAAGTGGCTGTACAACCTACAAATTCTTCATAGGGGATTTCTTTCAAGACTATGTGAGGGCTAGTAACTGGAGTGGCAGGGTCTTGCAATCACTATAACCTCCACGCCTATAAACAGTACCAAGCAAATGGCAAGATAAAGCTTGGATTGGTTCCTTATTTGATGCCAAGAAGGCCTGTAGCTAATCTCTATATGGGCTGAATGTACGCAGTGCTGCTGTACTGCTGTATCTCAACACTATACATTAATGGAAACCATGAATACAAAATTTGTTAGTACTGGTGATATTCATCTAGTGATTCTTATTACGTACTTGGTTACTTGGCGTAAGGTCTGGCAAGACTCGCAGGAACCATGCTAGTGACTCCTACTTGGACGAGGTGAGGGAGCATCCTTAGTATATATATCAGGGATTGCAGGCCTCTAATTTTCTGACAGAGTTGCTTGACCCTGCTCTGCTCTGTGAAAGCCTGAGAGAGAATGACTCTTTGTGCCTGTGCCCTTTATTAAGACATGGTGATAAATATGATGGTGTACATCAGTAGAATGAAGGAAGGAAGTGACAGGGAAAATACAGTGAGCGTCAAGAATGCTGAGGAAAAGATTAATTGAAGAGTCTCCCTAAATGCCACAAGTGGAGACAGGTGGCAGCAGATGTTGCTAGGCTAAGGGATCCTCATCATTACTTGCGCTGGAAAGGGAGAAGGGCTTTTGTTTGCTTTTCGTGAGTGGATTAACTTAACACCAAGATTAGGAGAACAAAAGCTATCTTGAAACTTCAGGAATTTCTTGCTTATTTTTCTCTTTGTTGCATCTGGATTTTGATTCAGTTCCCAAGACAGATCAAGAGGTTAGAAATATGATTTATGGGAGCCAGAGTGTATTGAAAAATATCACACAGAAAGCCAAACTCATGAATATATATTTTGTGCCAAAGAAATGTGATATGAATAATTTATTTTACATGTGCATAAATAGGCAGGCCTTCATGTATGCAAGCAGGCATACATATATGTGTGTGTGTGTGAGTGTGTGTATCTATATATAGTATACATATACATGTACTCACTCACTCTCTCTCTCACACACACACACACACACACACACACACACACACACACACACACACACACACACACACACACACACACACACACACACACACACACACACACACATTTATTAATAAATTTATGCATGTATATATGGGTAATTTGTTATTTTTTATGTATTTATTCCTTTCATTGTATTACTTCATGTTATTTCATTTTCAGTTTGTGTGAATATAGTGCATTCACTTGGGCTACATTGGCTATGTAGCAAATAACCTAGCTGGGAACACCTGTTTTGATCTATTTTTATTTTTATCTTTTTTTTTGTTCTTTTTTATACTAGCACAGGTGTTATTGAGTGTATATATTTATAATCATGTGTATGTGTGTGTGTGTGTGACTCAAAGAGAATGAGAGCCTCAGATGTTATTTCCTTCCCTCGCCCTATTAACCCAAAAGCCCCTGGAAAATGTGTTCTCAGTGGTATTGCTTTGTGAAATGGCTCAGCTAGTGCTTCGCCACAAAGGAGTCAATGAGTAGACCTTGTGACCTCACAATATTAACCCATTGCCGCCGGGGAAAATGAACAAAAAATGGGGGAAATGCAGTTCTCATTTTTTATATTTTTGTGAAATATCTCTGTCCATAGATGGCTCTGCTAGTCCTGATTTCACCTTTCCATGAATTGGCGGGAAAAAACGTATTCTTACTAGTGCTATAAATATAGATATATTTTCGTAAATTGATGAAAAGGGTGAATGGGCGAGACAGGCAGTACTCGTAATTGGCTCATTGGATACTTAGTACAAGTGTAGCCATCTATGTGTAAAAACTATCTAACAAGTCGACTCACAGTGGGCATGGCATGTACGTACATGCCATCCCCGGCGGCAATGGGTTAACAAAAATCAAGAAAAAGGGTAAACAGATGAAACTGGTAGTATTCGTGATTGGCTCATTGGTGCTTGTGGCGCCATCTGTGTGTAAAAACAATTAAGAAATTAAACTCGCATTGGGCTGGCATGCATGTACATGCCATCCCCAGTGGCTTGGGGTTAAGGTTTAGCTGTAGCCATGTTTGCATTGTGCTTCTGGAGTTATTCTTTCTGTTTTCTTATGTTTCGTTTAGACGTCTTGTTAGAAAGGGTGGTTGCAGGCACACCTAAGCCTTTTTGGCATTGTATGACAGGATTTCTGGTGTGAGTAATATTTATTTTGTGAGGGTGTTTTTGCAGTAGTTAGTGAATGAATTTCATGGCCGTGACCAATGGCAGAGTTTTAGTGAAGTCATTTTGTGATTAAAGTGGTTGTCATTAGTCTTACGATAGGAAGTGAATACATTTTGTGGCAGTGACAAAATTTATAATGGGGAATAGGTTAGCCTTGCAATTGTGAAAGTGAGTTTTGTGACAGTGGGTGAGGCTGTGACGTGACAGTGCTTAGATGAGTCTTGTGAGGGTGGTAGATGGATGGCTGGGTCAGGATTGGTGATGTTCCTGCACATATTGATGCTTTGATTACAATTATAAGAAATTACATTCATGATTGTAAAGAAATTGTTGTATCTATATGGAGTGTTTGATATTGTAATATTGTTAATATACATTAATTGGAGATGTTGAAACTTTGTCTTATTTTAGGCCATGTTGTTTTCTCTTTATTGACTATGAAGGTTGTTTTTGAAGGTAGATTTTTATTGAAGAAATTAGTTGTTTTTATTATTCAAGAACGAGGTATATAACCAGTTTAAAGTCTTTGTTATTTCTTTATCATTTTTATTTATTTGTAGTTTGTAG